ACGGGAGTCCTTGCAGCCTGTGAGCTCACGGATGGAAACAGACCTGCAGCGTGGAGCTCGGGAGCTGGTCGGGGAGACCCGTCAGCCTCCAGGGCTCAGCACCGGGACTCGCGCTGAGACGGCCGGCTGTTCACGCGGCGCCTTATCCGGGACGGTACCCCTGTGTCTGAAGAGAGGCAGCGTCTCCCAGTTATTAGATTCAAAACATCCGAGTTCCCACCCCGCCCGCCGCATGCAACCCTTTGACCTCGTCCAGGAAGAGGCCTCGCTGCCTCCGCCACACCCTCCCGGGAGCCTCCCGCTCGCTCCCTGACGGGGTGAAGGCGGAAACACGGCGCTGCCCGAGCTCCTGGGAAGGAACACGCAGGAGCTCCGTGTTGCAATCCGCTCTATCTTTGTTCCCCTAATTATCCCCTGCTCTGTGCTTGCCTCACCGGGGAGGCCGGGCGCGCCTCTGCCAGCAGCTCCGGCAGCTCACCTGCAGGCCCCCCTGTCCTGCCAGCAGCTCCGGCAGCTCACCTGCAGGCCCCCCCGACCCCCCGTCCTGTCGGGCCGCCTGCTTTGCATGTTCCCAGGTGGTTTCTGTGGGAACAGCCTGTGAGGGAGCCGCTCGCAGGGACCAGGAGCAAGGCTGCCAGGAACAGGCTCAGCGGGGTTCATGGGAAGTGGTGGCAAAACAGCCTCCAACAGCTTCTGGTATTTTCAGATAATTAAGCGCAATAAAAATAATAATTAACGTTGTAAAGGTAAAGCACGCCTTTCATCTGATCACCGCCCATCACACTCCACAACACCCTGAGCCGACATGTGATTATTTCCATTTTGCAAGGGAAGGACGGGTTCAGCCAGGCTCTGCGACGGCTCAGGGCCCAGGAGTCGGTGTCGGGAGGGGAGGGGGTGCCGAGGCCCCGTCCGGAGCTTTGTGTCTCGAAGGAGCAACTCGCTAAGGTTTCAGAGACGAGGCACCAGGTCACCGGCACTGACACGCTGGTGCCCACGTGTAGGGTGCCCCGCGCCCCGCTCACCCCCTGATTTCCGTCCCTCACTGTTCGAGGCCCCTCTCACCGACCCCAGAGGGGTTCCCGGACGGAACAGCCCCCGAGCCCCTGGAGAGCCTCCATCCTCGTCCCCTCGTGTGAATGAATTTACACGAGACCTTGACTGCGTGGTGAGGGCCCGTTTGTTAACGCGGCTAAAGCTGGCGCCTTCGTTACAGCAGCAACGCCAGCAAACGTGCGTCTGGCTCCCGAAGCGCGGCCGGCCCTCAGCTCGTCTGAAGAGCAGGCGGGTGGGGTCCGAGGCCTTGTCTGCCCTCCTGTCTGTAGGTCTCCCCGTTCCCCATACAGGTTCCTTCTCAAGGCCCCTGTCACTGTGTGTGGCCTTCCCAGAACTCACCAGAAGCACCTGCAACCTACCTGGCCGAGCCCGGGCTGCTGGCTCCTCTTAGGGAGTGAAATGCCCCCCCCCAGCCCCCGTCTCTGCGTTCTCTCCTTGGGGGTAAGCGGGGGCGTTTAACCATTTTCCGTGTCCTTGGTGGGAGACACTGGCTTGTTAGTGACGAGCTGGCTGAGGGCCCGCACGGCTTGGCCTTGTGTAGCTTCCTGTCCCCGGGTCCCCACTCCTCCCGCCCTGGGACCCGTAAGGCCACTTTTGGGAGGTGTCCTGGCTGCTGAGACATTTGTCCTGTGTGAGTGGAGGGTGGCTCAGGCGACAAAGCTCAGATCCATCCGTTATCAGACCTCTGCCCCTCGGAGCCGGAGCCCACGTTGGAAGCCCAGAGGGGATGCTGTTGTGTCCGCACCTGCTCGCCCCACGCAGCCCCAGCAGCTGCAGGGGATTAAGGAGCATTTTATCACTAGGAAAGGAGCAGCCTCTACTGTTGATTGAATTTTCTTTTTTAACAGCATTTAAAATTTTATTTATTATTTTTATTGATTACAGAGGAGAAGGGAGAGGGAGAGAGAAACATCCATGATGAGGGAGAAGTGTGGATCGGCGGCCTCCTGCACGCCCCACGCTGGGGGTCAAGCCCACAGCCCGGCATGTGCCCTGACTGGGAACCGTGACCTCCTGGTTCCTAGGTCGATGCTCACCACTGAGCACGCCAGTCGGGCTGTGTAATTTTCTTCTTTTAATTTGAGGTGACGGTGGCTGATGTAATGTAAGTTTCGGGTGTAGAACATTATAATTGGACAGCGATACACCGACAGCACGCTCCCCCCCAGCGTCTAGATTCCTTCCAGCACACGTGACCTTTGACCCATTCGCCTCCCCATCCCTCCCCCTCGGCACCAGTCTGGGTTTGCATTGATGAGTTTTTGTTTTGATTTGTATGTTCTGTTGTTTTTTATCATCCACATAGGAATGGAATCGTACCACTTCTGTCCTTTCCTGCCTGACTTATTTCCTTTGCAGAATGCCCTCAGGGTTCACCCGTGTTGTTGCAAATGGCAGGATGTTGCCTTGTTCATGGGCGCGTAGTATTCCACTGTACACACGTTCTCATCACGTTCGCCCATCGGTGGGCCTGAGGCTGTTTCCACAGCGAGGCTCTGGTAGATAAGCCGCAGGAACAGAGGGCCGCAACGTCTTTTCACCTTGGTGGGGTGTGTGTGATCTTTGGGTTCACGCCCAGAGGAGGAGCGGCCGGATCACCTGGGACTTCTCCTCTTACACCCGAGGCGCCTCCGCACAGGCCTCTCCAGTGGCTGCGCGAGTCGGCTGTGAGTGACGATGCTAATCAGAGGCTGACCGCCCGGAGTGGATGATCAGTCCTCTGACCAGCCAGGCGTCGAGTCCCGCCGCCCACGGCCCCACCTGCCGCTCGGACGGCCTCTCAGGGGCACTTCGGGGCGTTTTGGAGATTCGAACCCCAGCGTCTTTTCCTTCAAGTGCAGCCTCGTTCTTCTCGTGAATGAGTCTCCAGAACCTTTCGGGCCCAGCCTATGAAGTCAGTTCGTCACTCCCGACCACGCCCCCCCTGCCGCTGGTCAGTCCCCTGAAAAGGACCTCTTCCACCAGTGTGGTCGCCCCCCCC